ACGCATTCTCCAACGCGTCTAGGCATGCTTCTGATCAGGTGGTCAATGTCCTCCTGTGGTATCTCATTCCAGGCAACCACTAACTCCTCTCGAAGTGCTTCTAGAGTCTGAGGAGGACGTTGCAAATTGAGCAATCTCCTACCCATCATATCCCACACGTGCTCAATTGGGGATAAGTCGGGAGATATTGGTGGTTATGGTAACAATGTGACATCATTATGTTGAAAGAAGTCTATTGTGACTCTTGCAACATGTGGTCGGGCATTTTCTTGTTCGAAAGTTGGATCTGCCAGGGTGTCAAGATAGGGTAAAGGATGGGGTTCTAGAACTTCGTGGTTATAACGCTGCGCGTTCATGTTACCTCTGATGAAGATTAAAGGTGACCTGGAACCATAAGCTATAGCACCCCAAACCATAACTCCAACAGTGTGATGAACATGTCTTTCAACAAAAAACTGTGGATTCCTCCTTTCACCACGTCGCCTTCTAACCAAGGCACGACCATCGTGCATGCCTAAACAAAATCGAGACTCGTCACTAATGGACCTGGTAGTGGAGAAACGGTCCCTTAAGGCCAATAATCTTAGGCGGCGATCTTCACGGTCTGTTGTTCTACGGCGGCGTCCAGTGCCCCTTGCTCTTTGCGTACGGCCTTCTCGAAGCCATGCCTGACAACATCTAACCACAGTGTCTACACTTCTTTGCACTCTAACTGCAATTGCCCGAAAAGAAAGTCCAGCTTCCCGAAGTCCCACTATACGGCCCCTATCAAACTCACTAAGTTGACGAAATCGTACAGGTCTCCGTACTCTAGGCATCGTAACCGATCGTAAAGGATGTCAAGAACCAAAATCTTCCAACGTTGATTCTTTACTGCGGCTGAAATATTCATTTTTAGAGCGTTAGTGAATAAAAAAAAAGCAGTATAAAAACCGGAATGTCCAACTGATAAGGCTGAAAATTTTTTCACTTGTTATTTACAGTAATATAATAATAATAATAATAATAATATTTATTTACTCAATGTACAAAGATAACAAACAATATGAGTAAATAAATATAAATTCAAAACAGGCCCAATAGAAGGCATCGCCTGTACATGGACCAATAATTTAAGTTGAAACTGTAGAATGCAAATCACAAAAAAGGACAAAAATTAGCTACAGTAGATTATGTATTTAGTTGATGTTCGTATTTATGAGTTTATGAATTTCAGTCCTAGATATAGAATGTAGCCACTTTTTTAAATTTCTTTTGAAACAATTTCCGGAACGTAAATCTTTTAAGTCTTTAGGTATAATTTCATAAAATTTAGGCGCTAAATAGAGATATGATCGCTGCATTATAGATTTATGCGGTTGAGGAACTACTGTGCCACGAATTTTGTACCTGGTATAATGATTATGTTTAATTTTTTGGTCGGTGTTTACAAATTTATGGTAGTGAGTGATACTGTGTAAGAAATAAAGCTGTCTTATATCATACATTCGAACATTCGCATATAATTTTTCAGTGGGATAAAGTTTCGGTTTTTTAAATATCATTTTTAGAATACTTTTTTGAAAAACATCTAAATTATAGATATGTGAGGAACATGCAGCTCCCCATGCTAATATACCATATGTGAGATGAGGCTCAATCAGTGCATGGTATAATGTTTGAAGATATTTTTCTGTCAATATATTCCCAAGGTATTTAATTTTGTAGGATACAAATCTAACTTTCTTTAAAATATAATTGACATGGATGTCCCATCGTAAGTGAGGATCCAAGACCACTCCAAGGTATTTTATGTTGGGCACTCTATTAATTTGCATTTTTTGATCATTAATATTGAAGGAGAAATTTGTGAAATTTGGCAGATGTCTAGCATAAGATCCAAATGGTAAAAAATGTGTTTTAGAGTAGTTAATGCTTAATTTTCTACTGTTAAACCACCGAATAATTTTGATAAAATCATTTTCAATTACATTTTTCAGATCAGACCAGTCAGTGCCTTCATATAATATTGTAGTATCATCTGCAAAACTAGTTATTTTGCCAACACAATTAATTTGGAAAATATCATTTAAATATATATTGAATAACAGCGGACCTAAGACAGTTTCTTGTGGGACACCACACTTAATATACATTTCTTTACTAAATGATCCTGATATCTGCACAGATTGTGGGCGATTTGACAAATAACTTTCGATCAGTGAGTACGCGTTTCCTCTGAAACCAAAACTCTCCAATGCTTCTAATAATAATTTGTGATTAACTGTGTCGAAGGCTTTCTTTAAATCAACAAAAATGCAGATTGAAGGGATTCTGTTATCAATATTTTGATATATTTGATTTACAATTTTAGTTATTGCGTCCGATGTAGCCTTCCCTTCTGTAAATCCATATTGATTTTCACTTAAAATTTTGAATTTTGTGAGGTATCGAATCATTCTAGTAGATAAAACTTTTTCAAAAACCTTTGCTACACTGGATATTATTGATATTGGTCTATAGTTGTTAACATCTGTTTTTGTTCCTGATTTATGTATCGGTATTATATTACCTTTTTTTAAAATTGAGGGATATATGCCAGATTCAAAGCATTTGTTGATTAGGTAAGTGAGTGGTTCTGTTATGTCCTCGGCTATAATTTTCAAATGCTCGCTTTTAATACCATCGAACCCAGGACTTTTCCGATTTTTTAAGTACATAACAGTGGTGTATACTTCACATTGTTCGACTTTATCCAAAATAAATGAGTTCAAAGTTCTTTTTGGAGGCTGAGTATTTTGTACATTTGCTTGTATATTACTTGCTAAATACATTCACCAACTTTTATTAAAATAAAACCATTTAAACTGGGTGTTCGGATTCATATGTCACTTAGTATATCTATGTCTACAGAAACAAGGCAGCATAAAGTGCCATCACTGTTGCCGCTAGATGATACTGAATACCTGCATGTAAAGTGCTGTCATCGGCTGAGCTGTGAGTGGGATTGGTCTTGGGGATGATACGTAATAGAAACGAAATGTTTTTTGAGATGTATTTGGCTTCATAACCGGTATCACTGCCCTTTTGCGGACCCGATCTAACTGTATATAAAATGAGAAAACGCAATCTGACGTAAGAAAGTACAGTCTGACAGCTACAGTTGCAGTAAAGACACAGGATCCGGGGAATAATGTTACTTGACCAGCTGTATCATACTCGGAATAATGTACTGTATATACAGGGTGTAAACGTTATCCTATCCATTACTGAACTAGGTAATATGGGGGTTCAAAACAAGTCGAAAAGTTCATATGACGCATGGTCCAAAAGTCAATAGATTTTTGTTTAAATTTCTTTATAGTTTACAACTTTATATCAACCACAATCACCTCCTCTATCGCCCATTTAAATAATGACTATCATAACGTTTACATCCTGTATGTATATATTTAAACGCCCCCGATAACAAAAGGGAAATCGAACATCAGGGGTGAGTGGATATAAAAAGGTGATAAACCGCTTTATTACAAATCTGATGTTTATCTGCCAACATTGGATGACAATGTGTAATATTGGAATGTGATCTTTATTGCCCATCAGGTGGGATCATTTGTACGAATAAATGTCGTTCTTGAGGTCAATTCTCCTCATACGATTGAAGGAAATAACGGGAGATTTTTTCATCTGGCAAGTATAACAGGGTATTTAGTATATGAAGCAACAACATTTTTTCTAGAGATAATTACAAAATATACTAAGTGACATATACATCCGAACACCCAGTTTAAATGGTTTTATTTTAATAAAAGTTGGTAAATGTATTTATCTTACTGTAAATAACAAGTGAAAAAATTTTCAGCCTTATCAGTTGGACATTCCGGTTTTTATACTGCTTTTTTTTAACACACTAACGCTCTAAAAATGAATATTTCAGCCGCAGTAAAGAATCAACGTTGGCGGCTTTTGCTTCTTGACATCCTTTACGATCGGTTACGATGCCTAGAGTACGGAGACCTGTACGATTTCGTCAACTTAGTGAGTTTGATAGGGGCCGTATAGTGGGACTTCGGGAAGCTGGACTTTCTTTTCGGGCAATTGCAGTTAGAGTGCAAAGAAGTGTAGACACTGTGGTTAGGTGTTGTCAGGCATGGCTTCTAGAAGGCCGTACGCAAAGAGCAAGGGGCACTGGATGCCGCCGTAGAACAACAGACCGTGAAGATCGCCGCCTAAGATTATTGGCCTTAAGGGACCGTTTCTCCACTACCAGGTCCATTGCAAATGAATGGTTTGCAGAACGCGGAAGACCTATTGGCATGCGAAGTGTTTACCGATGAATGAGAAGTTTTGGCTTGTTTTCATACCGGCCACAGTGGGTCCTCCCTTTAACTCGAGAACACCGACGTAATCGCCTTGAGTGGTGCAGACAACGGTCACTCTGGGACCAGGAATGGAACAGTATGGTCTTTAGTGACGAGTCTCGATTTTGTTTAGGCATGCACGATGGTCGTGCCAGGGTTAGAAGGCGACGTGGTGAAAGGAGGAATCCACAGTTTTTTGTTGAAAGACATGTTCATCACACTGTTGGAGTTATGGTTTGGGGTGCTATAGCTTATGGTTCCAGGTCACCTTTAATAGGTAACATGAACCTCATGCATCTATACCGTCTGTCGCGCAGCAATCTACGCGGACACAGCTTCAAACTGCATAAGGAGCCATTTAAAACAACAGTCCGACAGTGGTTTTTTCCCAACCGCATATTCAACACCTGGAATAGTTTACCTGAAAGTGTGGTTGGTGCTACTTCAGTCAATAGCTTCAAAGTGCAGTATGATAGCTGGAGGAGTGTACAAACTTTATAGCTATGAACTGTCTTTTTTTATCTTTTTCTATTTGATGTATTTGTGTTACGTGTCCACACACTATATTTACTGCATGAGCTTATAGTACTGTGTACTCTGCTCATCTCAATTATCATAATAATAATAATAATAATTTTTTAACATTTCTGTTTCTTTTTCAGGCTGTGCTTTTCGATGAAATCGAACTCACCGACCTGTGCCTAGCCGAGTGTTCAATAAAAAACGTCAATCACAGTTTCCAGGTAATTACAAAAAATGTAGACAAAATAACTGCAACAGTTGAGTGCATTCAGTATGTTCATAACTTCGTTAGGCCATTTCTGATGTCTCCAAAAATTAGTATCGCTGATTCCTGTCTCTCTACCTGTCGATTAGAACAATTCCAGGCGCCACGGACTCTGGCAGTCACTGATTAAACATGGCAAGAGATAACGTGATGAATTTAGCGCATATCCGTCCTCTAGTTTTGATGAATCGCTGATTAGTTTAATTTGATTTCTTGGTGTGGATATTGCGAAAGCAAACCTCGCGGGCTGGCAGAAATGTAAGCTCCAAAAACTTACTGTTATGCTCATCCACAGAATTCTCTGAAGAGAAGGTAAATACAGTGAAATCTCTTGTCCAAATAAGAGTCCATTCCAAATGTTACAAATATACTAAATGACATATAAATCCGAACACCCAGTTTAAATGGTTTTATTTTAACAAAATTTTGTATAAGTACTTAATGAAGCATAATAAGTAAATGGTAAAAATTTCAAAATGATTGCCCTTTGACCTTTAATAATGTGTGGATGCACCCTGATGTGCTACGCATTCTCCAACGCGCCTAGGTATGCTTCTGATCAGGTAATCAATGTCCTCCTGTGGTATCTCATTCCAGACAACCACCAACTCCTCTCGAAGTGCTTCTAGAGTCTGAGGAGGACGTTGCAAATTGAGCAATCTCCTACCCATCATATCCCACACGTGCTCAATTGGGGATAAGTCGGGAGATCTTGGTGACCATGGTAACAATGTGACATCATTATGTTGAAAGAAGTCTGTTGTGACTCTTGCAACATGTGGTCGGGCATTATCTTGTTGGAAAGTTGGATCTGCCAGGGTGTCAAGATAGGGTAAAAGATGGGGTTCTAGAACTTCGTGGATATAACGCTGCGCGTTCATGTTACCTCTGATGAAGATTAAAGGTGACCTGGAACCATAAGCTATAGCACCCCAAACCATAACTCCAACTGGATGATGAACATGTCTTTCAACAAAAAACTGTGGATTCCTCCTTTCACCACGTCGCCTTCTAACCCTGGCACGACCATCGTGCATTCCTAAACAAAATCGAGACTCGTCACTAAAGACAATACTGTTCCATTCGTGATCCCAGAGTGACCGTTGTCTGCACCACTCGAGGCGATTACGTCGGTGTTCTCGAGTTAAAGGGAGGACCCAGTGTGGCCGGTATGAAAACAAGCCAAAACTTCTCATTCGTCGGTAAACACTTCGCATGCCAATAGGTCTTCCGTGTTCTGCAAACCATTCATTTGCAATGGACCTGGTAGTGGAGAAACGGTCCCTTAAGGCCAATAATCTTCACGGTCTGTTGTTCTACGGCGGCGTCCAGTGCCCCTTGCTCTTTGCGTATGGCCTTCTCGAAGCCATGCCTGACAACACCTAACCACAGTGTCTACACTTCTTTGCACTCTAACTGCAATTGCCCGAAAAGAAAGTCCAGCTTCCCGAAGTCCCACTATACGGCCCCTATCAAACTCACTAAGTTGACGAAATCGTACAGGTCTCCGTACTCTAGGCATCGTAACCGATCGAAAAGGATGTCAAGAATCAAAATCCGCCAACGTTGATTCTTTACTGCGGCTGAACTATTCATTTTTAGAGCGTTAGTGATTTAAAAAAAAGCAGTATAAAAACCGGAATGTCCAACTGATAAGGCTGAAAATTTTTTCACTTGTTGTCTACAGTAAGATAAATACATTTACCAACTTTTATTAAAATAAAACCATTTAAACTGGGTGTTCGGATTTATATGTCACTTAGTGTAGTTATGGGCAAGAAGCTGTTTGTCATCGACTGACTTCTATGTCGGAGCGGAGTCAGAAGAATCTTTAATTGTTGAGTATCAGGTTAATATTACTGTGGCGCTGCTCATCTAACTGAGAGTATATCGTCCATGGCCCTTTTTCGTTCAATATGAATGTCTACAATCCCTTATAGATAGATAGATAAAAAGATCCATTTATTGTATTGTAGAGCATATAATGACATAAGACTCGCCCTAGGATGAGATGCATAGCACACATAATTAAAAGTAAAACAAAAAAACATAAGTAAACTAAATGACATATAAATCCGAACACCCAGTTTAAATGGTTTTATTTTAATAAAATTTTGTATAAGTACTTAATGAAGCATAATAAGCAAATGATAAAAATTTCAAAATGATTGCACTGCTTCAAAGCCCTTTGACCTTTAATAATGTGTGGATGCACCCTGATGTGCTACGCATTCTCCAACGCGCCTAGGCATGCTTCTGATCAGGTGGTCAATGTCCTCCTGTGGTATCTTATTCCAGGCAACCACCAACTCCTCTCGAAGTGCTTCTAGAGTCTGAGGAGGACGTTGCAAATTGAGCAATCTCCTACCCATCATATCCCACACGTGCTCAATTGGGGATAAGTCGGGAGATCTTGGTGGCCATGGTAACAATGTGACATCATTATGTTGAAAGAAGTCTATTGTGACTCTTGCAACATGTGGTCGGGCATTATCTTGTTGGAAAGTTGGATCTGCCAGGGTGTCAAGATAGGGTAAAAGATGGGGTTCTAGAACTTCGTGGATATACCTCTGATGAAGATTAAAGGTGACCTGGAACCATAAGCTATAGCACCCCAAACCATAACTCCAACAGTGTGATGAACATGTCTTTCAACAAAAAACTGTGGATTCCTCCTTTCACCACGTCGCCTTCTAACCCCGGCACGACCATCGTGCATGCCTAAACAAAATCGAGACTCGTCACTAAAGACAATACTGTTCCATTCCTGATCCCAGAGTGACCGTTGTCTGCACCACTCAAGGCGATTACGTCGGTGTTCTCGAGTTAAAGGGAGGACCCAGTGTGGCTGATATGAAAACAAGCCAAAACTTCTCATTCATCGGTAATCACTTCGCATGCCAATAGGTCTTCCGTGTTCTGCAAACCATTCATTTGCAATGGACCTGGTAGTGGAGAAACGGTCCCTTAAGGCCAATAATCTTAGGCGGCGATCTTCACGGTCTGTTGTTCTACGGCGGCGCCCAGTGCCCCTTGCTCTTTGCGTACGGCCTTCTCGAAGCCATGCCTGACAACACCTAACGACTGTGTCTACACTTCTTTGCACTCTAACTGCAATTGCCCGAAAAGAAAGTCCAGCTTCCCGAAGTCCCACTATACGGCCCCTATCAAACTCACTAAGTTGACGAAATCGTACAGGTCTCCGTACTCTAGGCATCGTAACCGATCGTAAAGGATGTCAAGAACCAAAATGCGCCAACGTTGATTCTTTACTGCGGCTGAAATATTCATTTTTAGAGCGTTAGTGAATTAAAAAAAAGCAGTATAAAAACCGGAATGTCCAACTGATAAGGCTGAAAATTTTTTCACTTGTTATTTACAGTAACATAAATACATTCACCAACTTTTATTAAAATAAAACCATTTAAACTGGGTGTTCGGTTTTATATGTCACTTAGTATATTTATATACGAGTAAAAAAGTTTTAAAAATATCATATAGGGTGTTCCTTAATGATATGCGAATATTTCGGGGTGTGAATCTACATGCAAAATTAATGTTAGTTTGTTCTATAAACTATGGTCCAAAATGCTTCCTTGCAAAAACTGGGGGTGTTGAAGTCTTAGGAAAAAAATGGAAATTAATTAATATTTTCAGAACCGCATCTGATGTTTCACTGATATTTAGTACGTAGTGGAAGTTAATAAAGTTGCATATTTTTCAATGCAATGGAATACTTATACTATCACCTGCCTTTCTATTGTAACGTGTGTTGATGTTTGCGTTCTGCATAAAGTTTGTTCTGTTTGTATATGTGGAAAGGGCGTATTTACAAATATGAACTCTGGGTCTGAAGCTCTTCCAGAAGGATGCTCTTCAATGGATGTTGAATATCAATCTGATTATTCTCGTCTGTTGAACAAACGCTCTCGAAATTGAACTTGATTGACCCCAAATTATGATGTGCCTTGATAAATGTGAGTGGACGAAATATTATTACGTATCTAGCAAAGCTGATTCTGATAAGCAAAATTTGAACTTTATAATTGCATATTACGATTGATTCAACTTTTTACACACACTGTCCATGTGTTGTTGCCAATTGAGTTTTGTATCTATCTCTATTGCAAAGAATGTCGTAGTCTTGAGTCTCATGATTTGCTAAAATATCAGACTTTTCAAGACTTAAAATGAAACGATTTTGCTTGGCACTACTCTTTCAATCCATCGTTGACTTCATTTATTTTTGCAATAAGGTCATTGCGATTAGTTCCACCGACAAGTTTAAGTCGGAAACTGGTAAAGTTCATCTGCAGCATCTGCGGTAGAAAACAATATGATCGTACAGTGAAGCTTATGAGACAGAACACTGATAAGACAGATGAGATTGCAGGGTCGCCAAACTTTCGACTATTTCTGTCACATCTGACGGCTAAGAACGCACACGCACACGCCTCGAAATTGCGTGTCTTGAAGAGGTTGAAAAACGATTCGAATAAATCGAGCCACGACCGCGTCGAGGATGTTTAGATTATCGTCTGTTGAACCAGGAAAATTGCTTAAGCGCACTCGGGATGAATGGAACATTCCAAGAATAGCTTACAATATACGCCCAGTGCTGGAAAATTTAACTGAGAAGAGGAAATACCGACAAATTGCCTTTTCTATGTCTTGTTATTAGATTTGGAGACCTCGAAGCTCGGTACAGCTTGATGCTTCCAAAACTCCATCGAAAAAAGAGACCAAACCTAAACATATTCAGGTATACTCCACGTCTGAAGAGAAAAGTGAAATTTCCAGCATCCATTATGGTCTGGGGCAGTATCACATCAAAAGGAGTAGGAAAACTTCATTTTATTGATGGAAATGTGGATACAAACAAATATTTGGCAATTTTAGAAGAATCGCTTTTACTAGTGATGGAAGAATGTTTGACATCCGGCAAAGATTTTGTGT